TGTTTTCTGTTTTAGGCCGAATTTCATAGTTTTGCTGGTTTGTTATTTTTATGTACTTTGTAGACTTTACATGTTTTGTTAGTAATGAGTACTTTCTCTCATGTGTCTTTGGCTACACTTCATAACTGTTCCGTGGGTTCTACGGGTCCTGTCTGTGAGTTTCTGCCTTCAGTTTTGCTCCACATCTATCCATTTCCCAGATCTCCTTCTCTCCTCCTCAGGATCGTATCTCATCTAGTCGTCTTGCCGAGTCTGTTCAAGACCTAGTACACAAAGAGCTATCAAACAGGTGTCCACTCAACTGGGATTTTACTCCTGTCTATTTATTGTCTCCAAATTACATGGGAGATTGGAGTCACATCAAAGCTCTTTCCTGGCTGTTTTGTTTTCAGGAGACACTTCACTTCACTCTGAAGTCCTACCTCACACTGGTGGGATTTTTTGCCCGATTGTCATATTGTTTTTCTTCGGTTCATCCATGAGGGTTCTGTCTTTCAGTTCTGGATGTTGCTGTTTGGTTTTTCTTCAGCTCCCTTTGTGTTTTGTTGAGTGGTATGCTCTTTTGCACATCATCTTTGTTCGCTGGGTCTTCGGACTCCATATAACTTGGATGACTGGCTTCTTCTCTCCTCTTCCCGTGCCCAGTCATTCACTCACACCCGCTTAATTCTTTGTGAAGATGCTTGGGTGGGGTTTTTCGTGAAGTTGAAAAGTCCTTTACTATCCCCTCACAATATCTTATTCATTTGTGGGTTCTCTTCATTTCCCATCTCAGTCAAGCCCAGCCTTCTCCACTTTGGCTCCGGGATGTGGAGCGAGCAGTCATTAAGGCTCTACCTTCTCCTTCTCTCTCTCTTTTGGGGTTGTGGGCTTCCTTGGAGCTCTCATTCCCTTAAGTTGGGTGCACATACATTCCCTTCATTGGATACTTCTTGCCCCATGGAACTTCCCATAAGGTCCCTTGGACCATTCCATCTCCCTTCCACCTGGGATCAGGGCCAACCTTGCTTGGTGGCTTGACAGGGACTTTACCATAGTGGGGGTTCCCATTCCGCTGCCACATACTGAGTTTCATCTGTTTACAGATGCTTCCTAGGTGGGCTTTCCTCAATTCCCCAGAGACTTCAGGTTGGTAGTTCATTTTGGAGACTACTCTACAATGTCACATCTTGGAACTTTTGAAGTTCATCTGGCTCTGTATCATTTCCTCCCATTCCTGACAATTCCACTGTTGTTGGCTATATTACCAAACAAGGGAGAACAAAGTTCAGATCTCTGTGTTTTGAGACTCTGGATCTCCTGTAGTAGATCACTAACCATGACATGACTGTGTTATGATTTTGGAGCTATAAATCTTGTGGCCAATTGCTTATCATGTCCCAACTAGGTTCTCCCCATAGAGTGGTCCCTTCATCCTCAGGTTTTTCTGTGGGTGTGATCTCAACTGGAAACTCCACATATATACTCATTTTCTGCTCACCATAATGCGAAACTTCCTTCTTTTTTGCTCCATTTCCTCAATCCTCAGCTTCAGAGGTGGATGCTTTTAGTCCAGATTGGAGTGGTCTTCACCTATATGCCTACCCTCTGATCAGACTCTTTGCCTGGATCTTTTCCCTTATCCAAATCACTTATTGTTGTTTCCTGCTGGTTGCTCTGTATTGACTGCTCAGATGTGGCTCCCTCTGCTCTGGTCCTTACTGGACCTACAGACCCTGCCTTTATTTCTGTCCTGATCACTCCTCCAACAACCACAATCAGACATTTTTCATCCCAACATCACCACACTCCAGTTTCGTGTGTAACTTTTGTCTGGTCCTGTGCCTCAACTGTGGGACTCACTCCTCATTTAGTGTCTTAATTGTGTTACATTTGTGGACATCTTATGTACTATCTGTTGCTCATGGGCATAATCTGTGTTACATGACATGGTACCCGTCTATTAAGTTCTGGCCTATGTGTCTTACTTTGTTCATCACTGGGTATACCTGTTCCAGAAGTAGTGCTAAACCCTACAGATGTGCCTCCTTTTATAATTGTGGCACACCTGCTATTTCAAGGTGGTTGTTCTCTGCTTGTTTAATTACTTTTGTACCTACACTGGCCCCTCCACCTTTGCAGTGTGGTATTCTAGCTTTGGGTGAGCGGAGGTAGGACTGTTACTGAAATTAACATTTTCTAACACTGAAACATATTTCTGATAGGAACTTACCTCTTATCACACACATTCCTCCCTACTGATTTGCTGGTGTTTCTGGTTTGTATCGGCCAATTCTCAAGTGATAATTGTGCTGCAATGGTAGAGGGAGCTACCTGTGCTATTATAGGTCAATTTCAACTGTTTTTTTGTTTTTGTTTCTGAATAAAACAATATAAAACCAGCTTGTTTAAAAAGGATACTAATAATAATACTAATAAAGAAAAATAACAAA